GGTGCTGAAGGCATAAGAAATATTATTAAACCCAAAATGAAGTCATTCAGTTTTCTTAGTGGTGTTTCCTGGTTCAGGGCCCTGCTCATCACACACAGAGGACCCAGCACCTGGCATGGGGCTCATCAGCAGGAGCTCAGTGGGTGCAATTAGCCCTGGTAATGGTGATGTGCAGAAGCACAGTGCTGGGCCATGACCTGGCTTTCCCATGCACCAGCCCAGGCGTGCCCGAGCTGTGCCTTCCCCGGGCAGCCGGACCACACACCCAGCCCACCACCAACCCTTCTGAAGTGGTTGATTCTCCCTCTTGTTTTCCTAACCTCTGCGATGCTGGAACAGTCATCTGCTCCCCACACAACCCCGTCGACCTGCTCCTTCCAGCCTGGAGCCCTGGCACCACCTGGGATGCAGAGTCCTCTTTGCCTGGAGCCCAGGGTGATGCTGAGCTCCAGGATGCACTTGGGAGAGGGAAAATACCCACTGGGGCAAGATGGGGTCCATGTTCTCCTACAGCTGGACTTCCTCCTTGTTCCTTTACCTTTGGGCAGGAGACTGAAGGGTTGCATTGAGTGGTGGTCACTGGATGTATGTGCCTACGAGTATATAAAGATTGTCCTGTGCATCCTGACTTTGTCTTTTGTTGTGTCCCTGGGCTCTTGGTGTCTCTTTGGGGGCATAGCCCTCTCTGCCCAGGTCTTTCTGCTCTTCCCCAGGAGAGGGTTAATCTGAGTGTTTCTGCATTTTCCTTCTCCAACTTGGTAGCAAGGCAGAGTGGGGATATATGGTCTCCGCTTGGGTCCCAGCCTCCGAGGCTGGCTGGAGGAGCCGGTGCTTTCAGGCACGTTGCCGTTTGGCAGCAAAACCCTCCTGCATTTGCCAATTGTGCACGGCTTCAGCTATGGCTGTGCTCAGGCAGCTCCTGCACCCCCCTCCCCGTGGGACATGATAACTTTCTGTGTAATCTCTGCTGGCGACAGCAGCTCGGAGCTGCTCCCCCATCCCGCTCCCCACCAGCTCCTGCCAAGCCCCCGCCGCTTGGAGCAGAGGGGCCCGTGTATGGGCTGGCAGCAGCCCATTGCTGGAGTGCAGGCCCCCCAAATCAAGCATGGGGACACTCCAAAGTGATAGCAAACACAGGCTCTCTGCCAGCCCTGGGGGGAGTCACCGGCCAACAACCCCTTTCCTGCATGCTGCAGGGTGCCCGTGCTGCCTGGAGCAGAAGCCAGGGTGGATTTTCCCTTCCTCGACTCTCATCAAGGTTTTCCCTTCCTGTCTCTTGTGCAGGAGGCTGAGAGGTGTGAGATGGCCTGAAGCCACGTTGACGTGACACCCCAACAGCTCTAAGACACAAGGGACCCACACTGGGTGCTTGTGCAGCTCACAGTCGGGGTCAAAGACAAAATCAGCTCTGACCAGGTAATGTCACGCACCAAGGAGTGGGAAAAAATGATGCCTGTGGCCTCAGGCTGGTTTTTGGGGAAGGGTGAAAGCGAGGAGAGGAGCTGGTGGACCTGAAATGTTAATTCCTTCCAGCTGCTGTCAGGCTGGCAGGTTCTCAAAGGAAGTTTAATAGACTGCAGTTGTCTCCCCTCGGCCCGTCCCCCCATCGCAGCCCAGCAGAACCTGGGATTACATGAACTGCTACATCTTCCAAGGCTTGGGTTTAGTTTTTTCCCTTTGGCTCTGGAAGTGTTTTCTTGTGTGTGCGCACATGCACGTGTGCAATGGCTTTCTCTTCCCCCCCTTCCAGCAAACCCTGCCCCTTGGATTGCAGTGAATTAGAGGGGACCATCAGGGTTGATGGGGCTGGGGCAGGGGACTGCATTGGCAGTGAGGAGGAGGAGAAGGAGCTGGCTCCATGGGCCTCCTTGCTGGAGCACACCCCAGTCTGCCGTGTGAACGGGGAGGAAACAGGATGAAGAAAGTATTTGGAGTGGAAAATAAAAATCCTCTCTCTTGCTTTATTGATCGTGATTGTGGACAGAAATAGCTTGGGCTGTTGAAAGCATTCCCTGCTGTGGAGGAACAGGCTGCTCGAACGTGGGGCTCATCCCATACAGCATCCTCCAGCAGCAAGAGGTGCCCAGACACCTCCTGGCAATGGGGCTGAGCCAGCCCTGGAGCTGGAGGGCTCCTCACCTGCCCACCATGGCTCCTGCATAGTTTCCAAGCCCTGTGTTGTACATCTTGCTGGCTGCATCCCCAGACAGGCTCAGCATGGGAGCCCAGCAGCACAGCCTGGGGAATGTGCAGCCCTGGCAGCCCATTAGCAATTAGACAATAAGTCATTAATACACCCAATGTCCCATCCATAATTAATTGCATTGGACAACTGGGCTCATGCATTGCCTACCTGGGCAGGTAGATGTGTGTCACTCCTGGGAGACCCTGCCACCAAGCTGCTTTGAAAACAGCCACCACAGAGCAAGGCTTGTTTAGGTCACTGGTCCTTTTAATGAATTTTAGCCTGTTTCGTGGAATTGTTTCACTTAAGACAGCAAATAAGGGCCCAGAGTGCCCAGTAAAGCCCAGGCTGGGGGGCCAGCATCCACATGGGCACGGCCCTATGGCTCCCAGCTCTAAGAGGACCATAAAACCAAGTGCTGGCAGGAGAGTAATTAGTTAAAACCCAGCACATCTGTTGTTAATTAATTCACAGGCAGGAGGGTTTAACTCTTGCCTTCCCTGGTAGGTTGCAAGGTGGATGGCCAGCATCAGCTTGCATCCAGAGGAAGGCTTGAACTCTGCTTTTCAAGCCCTTTCCAGGGACTTGAATTGCTCTGGTCCATCATTCTCTACACTGCTCTGTCATTCCCTGCTCTGGTCCTTCATTCCCACATCCCAGAACCACCACCCTGCAGGGCTGAGCTGAGCTGGGCTCTTGGGTAGCTCTGCACAGGCAGCTGCTGGTTGAGTTGCGTTTGTTCGAAGCAGCCGTCACTAAAGTACATTCATAGGCGTGAATATCGCATCCATCCAGCAGCACATCGTACAAAGAGCCCAGCTCTGGTCCCCACCTCCCCCTTACCCAAGAGTTTCAAGCCGCAGCAGGAGGCTGCTGGGTGCTTGGGGGGTGTGTGACCCCCTTCCCATGCACACTAGGACACAAGCACACACAGCACAGCGCAGACAGCTCGCAGGGCCCTCCCGCACAGGGAAGCTGGGAATCTGTTCCCCATTAAGCAACTCCAGCATCGCTCCTCACTGCGGCTGGTGGGGAGAGCAGCCCTGCCAGCTCCAGCCTCCCTAATTAGCAGCGCAAGCGAGGCCAGGCTGGGGAAGGCCAGTGCCTCCATCCCTCCTTGCCAAGGATGCAAACGCTTTGGAGCAGAGCCTGTGGAAAAGCTCCCACTGACCCCCTGAGCGCCTGATGGGGCCCTAGTCCCGTCCAGCCCAGCCCAGCGATGGGCATCCCACCAGTAAGGCTGAAGATCCTGGTCCACCACCCCACCTCCTCCCCACCACGCACAGGGTGCAGGAAGGCTGCCTGCACAGCCTCTTCCCCTCCATGCACTCGCACTGCTCCAACTGCCTTTAGTTCACCACTAAAAATAGGATCCAGGGCTGCGCGGCAGCACCGGAGGGCAGGGAGCCCGGAGCCCAACCGGCCCCTGTCACCGTGACCAACTGACCCATTTGGCCTCAGTTTTGAAGCATTTTTCCCTCCTTGTTCAACTTGAGCCCAGGCAGCAGCTTTGCTGGGATCCAAGGCTGGGGGGGGTACACACTGTCCCTTACCTGCACGGCATAGTTGGTCCCACAAGTAGCTGGTGGCAGCAGGAGCACTGAGGCCACCCACATTCCAAAAGACCCTGCAGTCGGGAATTTCTCCTATAGGGATGTCCTGGCCCTGGGGATGGAGCAGCTCCTCCAGCTAAACTGGGTATGGCGCGGCTCCTCCAGCTGCAGGGGACAGGGGTGCAGCAGTTTGTCCCATGGCTATAGGAGCAGAGCAAGGAGCTGGGGCCAGGCTGTGCCACACCAGGACCTCGACCTGCTCCCTGGTGAAGGACACTTCCCAAAGCAGGAACAGCCTGGGGCTGTCACTGAGCTGTCCCATGCATGTCCCCAAAGCCATACGAGCCCTGCAGTGTCCCACATGCCTGAAGCTGGGAGCAGGATGGGGCACAAGCACAGGGATGGAGGACACATGGTACAGCTGCAGAGCATGTGATGGGGCAGCCGCTGGCCAGAAATGAAGAAAGACCTTTATTTACAGTAACAAACAAAAGGGACAACAAAATAAAACACCGTGACACGTCCCTCCCCTTCTCCCCAGCGCTTCATGGGGACGTGGGGCCCTTCCTACCCCCATGCAGCCACCAGCCCTGGCCCTCTGGATGCAGCCAACAAGTGCTGGGGGTCACCTGGCACCAACCAAACCCCCTTGTCCCACCACCCCCAGACACACGGGGGTCAGCAGCATCGCAGCATGGCTCTGGGATCTCCCCAAGCCCCTGGGTGCAAGGGACCAGCCAAGGGGAAGCTGCTGT